GAGTGTGTTGCGCTTTCTGAACGGGGCACCGTCCTGTGCAGGGGTTGGAGGCGCCACATGAAAAGGTGCTGGAGGAGGATCGCTGAGTCTTCACTACCAGCAAAAACTGGGCAGAATCATGCTTTTCATCAGAATGCCCCGTCTAGCATACCAAGTGGTAGGATGCCAGCAAATCATATGGTAAGTGTGTGTGTGTGTGAAATTATCATTGCATTTTCTCTGATACACGTGTAATTTCAGTTGAGGTCTTAACTATTCCTTGAGCGATAGATGCTGCTTTCAGGCAGAACAATAGGGAAGAGGAGGCTTTGTCTTAAAGACGTAATAGAAGTATGGGAAGCGATATCTTGGGAAAGCAAACTTCAGTCCCTCATTTAATCTGCTCTGTCTTTCTCATCTCCCTGTTCAATATTTACACAGAAGCTATTCTTTTGCAATAGCAACAAATGTGTTACCTTGTTGCCTCACTTCAGCGCTAGTAGCATGGCTGTTTCAGCCTGCAATTTTCTTTACTCAAATACCTTCAGCTGTACTGTGAAATCTGCCCCCTCCTCCCCCTTGTTGGCCTGTGTGCTGTGGAAGCGAGCTATCAAGTAGCTCAGGAATAATCATGAGTGAAGCACTCTGCTATGTTGGAGTAACAGTCTAATTTTGTATTACAGGTACGAGAACCAAAGTGTCGAATAATTGTTAAAGATCTCTCTCAAAAAGGTAAATATTCCATGAATTGGCAGTACTTGGAGTTTGTTTTTTTCTGATGACTTTAGTCTACTTAAGGAATAGTGTAGAGAGGCTAATGAATGTTGCTTAGAGCTATAAGGCTTTCAGTTTATTGTAAAATATGCTGAAACAGGATTATTACTACATTTGACAGAAGCTGTAATCCCTGTGGCGAACTATTGTACTTTAAAGCATGGCTTTTCTGCACAGGAGTACAGTGCAGTCACACTTTTAAGAGTGGTACAAAATTTTTTTGTATGTTTTAAACAAGTCTGCATTGCAGCAGTGTATGCTGCCTTAATGGGTGAGGTGTAGGTCAGAGCAGGAGATCTTTCTGTCAAATGTCCGCTCAGATGGAAGACCGCATCGCATCCCCATACATCTATCTGTACCCAGCAAGTTGATGTGCTGGATGTCCAAGCAATGATTTTTGCTCATGCTGGTCTTGGCGTGGCAAACCTGTTCCAGTAGCATACTGAAGTGGTTAAAGCCTACTGTTGAGTAGCCCTATAAAGCTTAAGTGAAGACATGCAGGCCAATGAAACCTTCTTCAAAACCACCTTTACTGAATGGTGTCTCATCTTAAGAGACTACTTTTGAGATACATAGACTGATACCTTTAGCTTCTTTCAAGATTACTCAGTAGGAAACCTATTTGTCCTACTGCTTCTGAGGTGCCAATTCTGGTCTTGCTGCTGCTGTTTGGTCTGTGCATGTATTGGCTGAAAATTAATGGGAAAGCATGTGCGTTAGCTATGAAAAAAATCTGTATTTTAAAACCTAAGCTGATGTGTGTTGTGTGGTTTTTTTTCTTTCAGAACTGAGAGATAGCTTTGGGGCCTTTATAAATGAAGTACCACCGAAAAAATGGAAGCGGCTTATGAGAACTCATCTGCAGGAAAATGATATTGTTAAAATTATTTATGACTTTCCTAATGATATAGAAGAGCAATTTTATCAGATGCTTCTCATGTGGAAAAACACACTGGGAGAGAAACAATGTATTATTAAGTTACTGGATGAGTTAAGGTGTCTCGATACCAAGGCTTATGATAACGTATTGAACACTTTAAAAAGTAATAACATTATAAGTAAATTAGAAGCTACAGATTAATGTTTACCATGAACTTCAAAAATGCTCCTGTGTACATATATATGTTTACAAACCTCCTGTAAATGAGGACATCAACAAACTGCTCGTAAAAGTGATGGCATGGACTTGATATCCTCCTCACCTTCACGCGGGGAGCTGGAAGTGATTTAACCCCGTCGGTGTTAACACGGACTCCAGTTGTGATGTTCACTAAGGTCTTTTGAGTTGTATGATATTGAACTCGGGTGCCGGACGCCAGCTGGCGCTTCCCTTCATGTGAGGCAGGACCGTGCTGTTTGAACCTGGGCAGTGGGAATGAAGAGGCTGCTGCTGGTTTTGAGAGGATTGCAGTGCTTTGGTTTCAGAAACGATTGTGTTTTGTTTTGTATTGGTATGATCAGAACCGTTAAGTTTGAAGCACAGCAATAAAAGCCCAGTTGCGCCAGAAGCTGGGGTTGACTCGTGGACTTTCTTGCCCGAGGGTGGGAGGTGATGTCAGGGGAGCCCGTTCCCGGTCAGTTTTTGTAGCCGCCCGGCTGCGGTGAACCCCTGCGACACAACGGCGGCTCCTGAGGAGAGCCCGGCCGCGCGACGACCGCCCAGCGGCCGCCCGCTTGGCGGGAAGGCGGTGTGGGCGGTGCTTCCCCTGTTGCCGTGGTGACGCGGGGAGCCCGTCGGAAATAGCGTAGGGGCGGGGGGGGGCG